CTCTTAGTCAGTCATTAGTTTGATGCAGTTTTGTGAACATAGTCCTGAGCTAGGTCATTGGTGTGCCTGCCATAAAGTGCTTTTTCAGCCCAAGACTGCTTAATAGTCTATTTTTATTGTGTTGAACTATGTCAAGATGTTTAGAATGTAAGTTTAAAGGTGTGTTGTTACTGTCTGCCAGAGTTATAGCTTTATGTAATATTGATGTTTTTTGTTTTTTTGTGGAAAAACTCTTGCAGTGTCATAATTTGCTTATAGTGCAGGTTAACTATATTAGTAAGGCCACCTTCTTTATGAGGAAGAGTTAGTCTTTTAATGGATGATTTTGAGTGATATTGTTTATGCTTAGTAAGCATTATTTTTGTTTTCCTTTGGAGGTGCTTAAGATCTGTCTGTGTCCAGTGTATAACTCCAAAAGAATAAGCAAGTACAAGGACAACATATGTATTAATAGCTTTGATAGTATGTTTTGCATTTAGGTGTGTTTTTAACTGCATGTAATTTGTTCTGTATTTGAGTGTTAACCTTTGTTTTATCTGTGATTGTTCTGTAAGTTTGGCCTGTTAGAATCCTAAATATTTGTGAAACTTGCCCTCTTCCATGGGCTAGATAATATCTCCACTTCTGAATACAAAGTCTCCTTTCTTCAGCACTCCTTTTTCAATGTGAGTGTTTTTCATTTGTCTAGTCCAAACACCATTTGTATATCATTTGTGTGTGTGTATGTAGTTTCTAAGAGATGAAGAAGTTGATTCTATGTGGTGTGGATGAGTAAAATTTGATATTGCTCATTTACATGAGATGTGATAATGTGAACAATATTGTTTTGTTGTGTCTGATATTGTAACCATATTATGTTTTGTTCAATGTTTTAAATAAAAGGTAAAGTACAAGGCTGAACCAAAGAGGACTCAAGGAATTTTCTTGAAAAATTCTTCACTTGATGTATATTTGATTTGTTTTTATGTGAATGTTATGGAGGTTAAGATGTAATGTCGTTTTCCAGTGAAACATGGTAAAATAGGGAAACTAATGAGTTGGGGATGAATTTTGTAGATGTGAAGTGTGTGTAGCAGCAAAGTGTGTGGGACATTGTTGAATAATTTTCTGTAATCAATGTATGCCATGTATATGTTTGTGTTGCTTATGAACTTGCCATAGGATAACAGAGTCAATGAATAGTTGTTATTTGCAACCTTTGAGATTTCTACAGCAGCGTTTTTGTTGTTCTGTAAGTATGCCATGTTCATCAATATGATTGTATATTTTGTTTGCAATGCAAGAAGTAAGAATCTTGTAAAGTGTTGGAAGAAATGTAATTGGTCTGTACTGTGCAGGGTCTTTGGTGGGTGTGTTTTTTGGTTTCATATAGGTGATGCCTTGCATAAGAAAAATTGGCATGTTTTGTGGATTGTTGATAATATGAGTTAGAAGTTTAGCTAGTTCCTGGTGCAGGATGTGAATTTTTTTTTACCAGAAATTATAAATGTTGTCTACACCAGGTGTTATCCGGTTCTGAGCTTTCTGCATTGTGCAATGGATGTCTTGTGTATTTATTTAAACACAATGCATACTAGGTGTGTCCTGCATGTTTTTGCTCTTCTTTTTGATACAGTCTGCATCAGCATTGCACTTAACAGCAGTAGACCAAAGAGAAGACTGATAATTTGCAAGTTCCTCTTCAGTTGGCATACCATTGTGTTGGGAATCAATAGAAAATTAGGTATTAATTTGCCTTTAGTAGAGTTTTTCATTGTGAATAATTTATTTTGTTTTGTCTGTACAAAGCAAATTTTGTATCATTTGAATCGTTGTGCTTTGGTTGCAAGTTTTTGTTTGAGTGTCTGTATTCTGTGATGTGGACTTTGTGATGTTTGTGCTTTGTGCATGTTTTAATTTTCTTGAAAAGTTTTTTACTTGTTTCAGTAATTTAGATGTTGTTTTGTTATTAAAATATTGTGACAGCCTAGTTGCTATCTAATATTGTTTATTTATGTTTCTATTCTTCTTTGCCAGGAAGGACTTCTGAAGTGTTTTTGATTTGTATTCTTCTGACTGTTGATGCAGTTCTAGTCCATGGTAGGTCATTACTATGACTGCACCTGCATTGACTAGTGTGTGAAGATCTGAGAGTGCAGAAATAGAATTGTGCAATCTGGTAATATGTAAATGTTCACATAGTATAGAGTTTTCCCTATTAGTTTAGAAGTGTTGATTTCAGGAATGCTTGGCCATTGTGCAGGGTTCGTGCATGTAAAAGAAGTGAGTGCTTCCTGGAAAAGAAGAGAGAGAATATGAGTTAAAACTAAATCTATTTCAGACAGTGAAGAACTGTTATTGTCATCATCAGTGAAAATAGTGGTGGTAGAAACAGTATTGTCAATGCATGTATCTTGATGAACCTGATGGATTATGTGATCATTGATGTTGGGAGTATTTGTTTGCTGATGTAATTGTTCTGCAATTTGTTGTTTGATATGTTCTAGTGTTGTTTGTGGTGTAAGGTTGTTATGTATAATTGATTTATTTAATTAACAACCCTTTGTGCAGTGACTTTGAGATGAGGATATTGTTGTGAAAAGAAGTGATGTAACTGTTGTCTGTATACTATCATGCCTGTTTTTTCAAGTTTTGTGATGGAGAAGTAAGTATGGACAATAAACTCATTCAGTTCCTATGTCCACTTCATCCATTGGCATGGTTTACCTGCCTTAGTGGTCTCACTGTCTCAGAAACATCAAGATTAGTCGAGTTTCCCACAACTGGTATGGACATTGCAATAGCCATACTTGGATCAGTGCTGCTTTCACCAGTGGTAGCCAAGGGAGACTGACATATTTTTCGAATGAGAATCTCTGCCTAACTCACAAGCACAGACCTTGTTAACTCAGGTGATATCTGAGTCTGTATTATATTTGGATTGTGTTATCACCATGGTTAGATCTCCACAGATGTGGGTTCAGTCACTCTTGGCTTCATTTCTCTCCACAAACCTCACTGGTAAGGGTGACCCTACCAGGAGCAGAAGCTCCAGCCAGCATATCTCTATGGTTCATCAGAATTACTGAGCTCTCTCACCACAGCAAGGTAGTGACTGGTGAGAGAGTTGTTATTATTGCTATTATTATTATTTTTATTGGTATTATTATTAAAAATGTTATTATTGAGTGGAACTCTGCATAAGTTAGAAAGTATTCTGTTGGTGATTAAAGTTTAAAGCAATCATATGACCACTAAACATGATTTTTTGCAAATAAGTACAACTCGGCAATGTTGTACTTATTTGCAAGGCCAATGTTGCGATGAGGTCAGAATTATGAAATTCAAGTTATGGTCTGAGATATTCAAGGTCAAAGTTTGCCATAGTAAAGTCTATGAGCCAATTGCTGGTCACATGCTACATGTCAATCTAATTTTCCAATTGCTTTCAATTTACATTGATCTCTACAACAATTTTTTATTTTGATCTTATGATGGGCATTTAACATGTACAATACAAGCTGCAGTTGTACATGTGTATGTTTTAATCAATTGCTTAGGTTAGTAGACCAATGGCTACATGTGAGTGTTTTAAATGTTTCTTGACATTTTTGACATTAGATTTGCACATCCTTCCCAGAACTTGCATGCTTTAAACTGCTTTAGACAGAATGTTATAAGCATTTCTCCACATTTGTATTTTCATGTAAATCTGAAGCAGAAAAACCTATGTTGCAGAGCTGGGCCGTGTTCAGTAACACAGAACACCTAAGTTAGAATTCTGAGTGGCTTAGTGAGCGGAGCTAAGAATACAAAAGAAGCTAGTGGTGGGAGGAGTCAAGCAGTAGTTAGAAACGAGTTCAACATTGCAGCATAACTAGACTTAGCAAGAATTCTGCATTACTGAACATGGCCCTGTTTCATCTTCCTAGAAAATACCTAATAATGTGTAAGTATAAATAAATTATTATAATGTACAGTACATTGAGTAATTTATATTTATTAATTGATCTGTCTTTTCACATGAATGACAAACAATTATAAATTTTTCCTTTAGGACAGAATTTTTTTTGTTCATTAAATCAACAGTCAACTATATTTTTAAAACCAGCAATAAGAAATAAGTACTATTCTTAAAGATGATTTGCAAGTGCAAATCATCTTTAAGTTGGGATACACTGCAAACTATGATTTGCAGTGTATCCCAACAATAATAAATGGAATTTTAATATTTTATTTGGAGTAACTTACAATAAATTAATAATTAGCAAGAAAATTAACTTAAAATATTCCATTTTAAAACATAATACTATTATTACAAAAATTATTACTATATAACTGGATTGCTGTATATTAGATCTCTATTTAATACGTCTCTGTAATCTAACAAATGGTAGACGGACTCACAGCAAATTTTCAGTTAGGAACTACAATTTTATTCTCAAAATTGACAAATGCATTTCAGGTTGGCTCAGTACATCCCAACCCCTCATCAGTGCTAATTTTTAAAAATAATAAAAGCAAAAATAGTCAGTTCATGACAACAAACATACCAACAGAAAAAATTTTTTCTTACACACTTAACTCTTAAAGATAAAAAAATTGTGCATGGGACACCAACACAACTATAACACCAACACATGCTATACATCAATATAGCATGTGTTGGTACCGTAGAGATATCATACAAGCTCAAAGAGCACTTGAAGTGTTTAATACCACCGGATAACCTCATCACTAAAAACAAAACTTTTTAATGACTATTTTGTAGAATTAATAATGGTGTATAAAAACAACATACATTACTTACTGTTAAAATATATAGTGATATAAACAGTTTATGAACAATAATTTACAAAAAACCAAGTTAAAACCTTAGCACCTTTGAGCTTGTACGATACCTCTACGATGTATTGATGTATAATATGTGTTGGTGTTATAATTGTGTTGGTGTCCTATGCACAATTTTTTTATCTTTAAGAGTAAGTGTGTAAGAAAAAATTTTTTCTGTTGATATATTTGTTGTCATGAACTGACTATTTTTGTTTTTATTATTTTTAAAAATTAGCACTGAGGAGGGGTTGGGATGTACTGAGCCAACCTGAAATGCATTTGTCAATTTTGAGAATAAAATTGTAGTTCCTAACTGAAAATTTGCTGTGAGTCTGTCTACCATTTGTTGGATTACAGAGACGTATTACATAGAGATACAAAAATTATGTTGTATTGTTACTATAATTATAAAAAATTCCAAATATGCTGTATAATTTCTAACAATAAAAATACTATTATAATTACCTTGAATCTCATCTTGGTTTTGATTAGAATTATTTAGATCTGTATCTTCTTTTTTACAGGCAGATAAATAATATAACTCTTTTGTTTGTAGAGAGTTTGTTAATGCATTACTATTTAGACATTTTGAGACTCTCTCTGAAGTTTCTGTTTTTGTAAATGACTTTGATAATTTAGAGAAGGAAGAACTTTCAAATTTTGTATGTGGAATATTTGAATTTATTGACTGATTAATTGTAGAAACTACTTCAGAGGACTCTGACAATAAAGAGTCAGATTGATTGAATCGCCTATAATATTAAAACTTTTATTAGAAAAATTTTATAGTTTTATTATTATCTGTTATAATAAATAATAAATCTGTTACAAAAATAAAATATAACAGATATTTATATCAAGTTAAATTTTAGTATTATACATTTTATTCAATTTTGAAAGTTCTAAAATTAGTTGTTATAATATTAACACTACAGGGTGTCCCAGAAGTCTTTCCCTGATTACAAACATACAGAAGGCAGAAAATATGGCACATACACACACATCTTTTATCTTGAATTGCAGGTAACATATTCACATTTTTGTGTGTACAGTACATACATACTCACTGTTACTTTGTTTGCTACAGTACAATCACAGCCAATACCTATCTTGATATGTTGCAGTTATGTGTTTTGCTACAGATTCAGGACATTCCAGACTTAATTTTCCAACAAGATGGTGCACCACCTCATTGTGGGTTAGATTTTCATGCCTATTTGGATACAGCGTTTCCAGGAAGATGGATCATGCATGGTGGTCCCATCAACTGGCCTCCACGATCACCAGACATAACTCCAAAGGAAGACATCCAGTGGTGTTATGTCAAGGACCAGGTTTATCAAACACCAGTGAACGACATCACAGCATTACGGCACAGAATTACTGCATCATAACATCCATCCCTCACGATATGTTGAGCAACACATGGGTGAAATTGGAATATTGCCTGGATATCCTTCAAGCAACAACAGGAGCACGCATTAAAATTTATTAATGAGTATGTATGTACACACAAAACTTGGATATGTTACTTGCAATTCAAGATAAAAGATGTGTGTCTATATGTCATATTTTCTGCCTTCTGCATGTTTGTAATCAGGGAACGAGTTCTGGGACACCCTGTATTTCTAAATCATTTAATACAAATATAAAAATAATCTACAAATTGATAACTTCTATTTAATATTTTTGATATTAAATATTTTAATATAATATTTAATTTGATTTATTGACATACAATAGCATATTCAAACATTGTGAGACTCAGCACTATGTAATTTATTTACATAACTAAATCATAACATAATGTTTTGACAATAAAATTTTGTCAGATAACTGTCAACTCTCACACCTAGGAGTTAATCATTTGTTAAGTTCTCAGCAGTAAAAGCGATGCTTTCTCATAACATCATGACCTATTGTCTTGATTTCATCAGTTGAATATAGCAAGGAACTGCAAGTTTAGGCAGTCGTCACTAGTTCCTCAATCGAACCCCTCATTTTTCCTTGTGTTCTAACTTATGGATACCCTGTGCTCCTTAGGATACCTCATTTTTGGAAACCTCCTCACCTACTGCCATAATATCTATTTTTCACTCAGAACTGTCAGAATAAGAACTGTCCTCCAGAATTTTCTTCCTTTCTGTCCAACCGGCTCACAGCAGATCAAGATCTCCTACAAGATCGTCTACCTTCAGAACATCACAACCAAGATCCTCTAAAAGGTATTTATCCCAGCACATATCTCATGTAAACTCTCTCTCGCAACCGCTAGAAGGATAGGCTAAGTCAGTATAACCTAATATATCTATTGTGTATTGTATCGTGTATTCCTCTTCATTGAAAACAAATGATTATTTAGTTGTAAACTTTTGTATCTGTGTACTTTATTTTCATCAGGCTGTCTCTCAGTCCATCCAGAATCTGATTGCTCGCATATGAAGCTGCTCGTGTGACCTACATTCTAATCACGACCTATGTTCTAATTCTATACAACCTACGCCATCTTGGCTTCCGTGTCAACCGAGACATGGTAGTGTCAGTCCTGACAAGGCACTAAAGGGTGCCGACCCTCTTGTTTCCAATAAACAAGTTTTTGGTGAACATGCAATATGGAGAGACAAACTTAAATATTCATTTACTGTTACATTAAATAATATTCTATCAGATGAATTTGGAGGAAAATTCACATGTAATGATCTAGTGGAATGTATAGTTAAAACAGCAATGTCCCTAAATTTAATTTATGATGTTATATGTTGTTTAAAACGTACAGATTTAAGATATTTATGGTATGATAGTGAGTGTTGCACAATGAGAAAAAATCTGTGAAAGTTGTTTAAGAAGGCAAAAAGTTAAATATAGATGAATGTTGCACTTTGTATAAAAATTATTTAAAAGAATATAAATTACTAGCTTACCCGTCGCACATTGCTGCGATCTCAGAAGAAAGGAAATTCAAGCAAACTCATTATGATAAAATTCAATTTACATTTTATTATTTTTATTGAAACTTATTATTATTCATTTTCATCGGGAAAACATTTCAAAGTGTTGTTTCAATTCTCTTTATTTATTGGAGTGTTTGTGGATACATGATATTTTTTGTTTTTCCGTCTGGTGCGTACACGAATGAATCGGAAGGTTTTTCGACGCGTGAGCCGGCCACATACAGTTGTCCATGCGAGAAGCACGGATTCTCCAAATTTAGCCCACACACTCGCTGCGATTGTCAGAAGTGTGATATTCCCCATTTTTATATATATTTTTAAATCCTTTATAATTTTAATTATTTAATTGCTCCTTCCTCTCTTCCTTGGCATGTTGTGAAATTTCTGATAGTTGGATAATAAACCGTTTTATTGTAATTTGTCTTTTTAAATTATTAGATGATATTAAAATTTGGAAAAGGGGATCCCTAGATCGGAAAATAGGTGAATTTCCTTCTACAACTTCGGTTGCTGTTCGGTATACAGTTAAAGTTTTAACAAAGTTTGAGCAAATACGTAATTAGCAAAAAAAAAGTTGAAATAAAGTGATTAAACAAACATTATTACGAATATCGTAAATAACAGTTCACAAATGCATATATAGAAATATTTTTTGAAGGGGGAAATGGTCTTCACAATTTGAAATCGATCGAATACACTGTGCTCGAATGCTCGTGTAAACGCGCGCCATCTATCGTAGGATAAATGTATTATGCCAAGAACCTTCACGGGAGTGTATTAAAAAACTTTCCAAAGTTTTATGGCAATTGTACTATGCCACAAACCTTCGCCGGAGTATATTAAACAACTTCCCAAAGTTTCACGGCAATCGGATAAATGGTGTGGTAATGCAAGAAGGACAGACAGACACACACACATACATTCATTTTTATATATATAGATTATGTCAAAAGAAAAAAGAGTCTTGCTTTTGGAACTTAAATAAAAGATTGATGATCTCTAAAATATTTTGGCATATAATTAATGGCTTTAAACATAAAAGTTCATCATGTCATAGTTTAGGAATTTCCTTGGAAAAATGGTTCAATTTCTATGTTGCTAAATTTTCTATAGGTCATTATTTATGTATTAACAATGAACAATTGTTGATGTGTATAAAGTATTTCCAATAGGAATGGAATGTTTTACAGATTTTACACTGGAGGAGCTAAAAGGAGCTATTAATAATAAAAGCAATAGTTTCTTCTTTTTGGATTAGACTGTTGAAACTATACGATAACAGTTATGTTAAAGTAGCATATAACAAACTGTATAAATTAAGTTTGATGACAAATAATTATACATATAACTGGACATTGGCATTGAAAAATCTGTTAGATTGACACAGTTTCTCATTTCTATGATTGTCACAAGATCCTCATTTGATTGAAAGTTATCAAACATTAATTATAAAAGTGTGTTGCAAACAGAGCATACAAGAAGATTGGTCTTTGTTGGAAAAGAATAAGCATTTTCAATTATATCATGTTTTTAAAACAACTTATATGTGTGAGGATTATTTGTTTATGGACATAAATTATCATGTAAAATGATTAATTCTACAGCTGAGATACAGTCAAAATTATATTTTAACATATAACACTAGACTAATAATAGGTCCTGAGAGAATTTGCAGTAACAGTAGTTTGCAAACATATGAAACTTGGGAACATGTTCTTTCACTGTATCAAATTTGAAACAAATAGGAAGAAGCATTTGACAAGATTTAAATCCTGAAATATATCAATAATTAATTTATTGCATTTTTCAAAAAATGATTATTATTGTGTATTTTATTTTGTCTTATCCTAAGCTATTTCATTAATTTGTTAAATTTTCAAGTGTATTATACTAACATAAAAACAGTTCATTTATATCAGGGCTTATCACATCAGTTAACATGAATACAAAATTTATTAGATTCAATATACCAGGGGTGACCAACAAGTCGATTGCAATTGACCAGTCAATCGCAAAGACAATTTTGGTCAATCGCTTGCGATGTCTTCACTTAATGTGTTACACTTGTAACTGAATGCAATGTGTGAACATAACGTGCAAATGCAACTGTAGTGATATCGGACCTCCGCGTCCTCCCTCCGATGAGGTTTTGTTGGTCCATGTGCAATCCATTTGCGTACAGTTGTAAAAGGGGAATAAGAAATGTAGACAAAGGGTTGTAAAACCAAAAAAGGCAGGAAGAGGGACAGAGAGAGTAAATTGGGACACAGTAGAGAGAGGAAGGGTGAAGTGGTGGTCCCCAAAAGTGACAACAGTGAGTTTCAATTTTTCTTCTGTTTAAAATGTAAGTACTTTTTCTTCATGTTTTAAATTAAATTGTGGCTTTTCTTATCTATCTAAACATAGTATGTATTTCACACCTCCCCTTGCCACTTAGACTATGCCTACAACAACAAGCTGATTGTCACACATTTTTAAGATAAAAAGTAGATCTTATGTACACAAAAGTTGGCCACCCCTGCAATATACAGTTGAGTTACAAAAGATCTTACAAAGATTAATTAACTATATATTGAATCTAATAAATTTTGTGGTGTGATAAACTGGTGTGATAAGTCCTGATATAAATGAACTGTTTTTATGTTAATATAATACACTTGATAAGCATAAGGGCAAAAAGCAAAAACAATATCACTACATTGCTAAATTTTACTAATTTCTGATTTACATAATATGTGTAAAAATGATTATTATTGTGTTTTATTGTGTAGTACTAAGCTATTATATTAATTTGTTATATT